TAAATTATTTTCATTAATTTATATTTCAGTAATATTTTTATTATATTTTCTTTAAAGTCTCTTCGAACAACAATGTTTATTTCTTTATGCATTTATAAAACGACGACGATTTATGAACAGTTGCTTATTTTCACGCAAATTATGTAATGATGTTTTTGCATAATATATTTACTACGGGGACTTTACAATTGTTTATAGAATATAAATCATTTTGACAAGATTAACAATTCTGCAAAGATTGGTAGAGTTTTTAGAGGTAAAGAGCATTTAGATACCTTTTTTATATTTTAACTTATATATATATATATATATATATATATATATATATATATATATATATATATATATATATATGGGTCTGGCGCTTCTCGGGAAACCAATGATATTAAATTAAATGAATAGAATTCAAAAATTAGCTTAATATATATATATATATATATATATATATATATATATACGTATATATATACCGAATTTTTCCAGTTCCATACAACATTCTTCAAATTTTTTTTCTCCTAAATCTTATCCATAGATAAACAAGTTTAAATAGATGGCAAACAACGCCGCTTTGAGATTACATCACTTTTAATTCTTTCAGCATATTATAGAGCACGCCACCAATTTTAGCACGTAAATTTACCTTTGGATTTAATTCCAAATAAGACTTATATTTTTTTTTATTCCAGAAAGTAATATCACAGTATATAAAATTGCTACTTGAACGTTTGAAGTACGTGTACTATATCTAGTGTGTTTTAAAACAAACGTTGAATTTGAAGCACACTAGCACCATCTGTGATATGCTGAAAACACTCATGTATAGTAAAACGCATTAATTATATGTTTACTCCTCATGATCTTATCTCACGATTCTTTAATCTATTACTTTTAACTCTACTCGATTTTAACTCCAAAATTCAAACTCTATTTATTTTGCGCCAGGACTCGATCTGAGGATCTCAGGCGTGTGAGTCGGGCATAGTAAAGATAGTTAAAAAAGAATGTGTTTTTTGCTATAAGAATCTATCATGCTTGTTGTTTTCAAAGTGTTCTTTTTAACTTCCCGAGAATGTTTGCACATCTTTACGTTTCAGAAGTTTCTGAACATTTTGGCATACCTTGCAACGAATGTATGTGTGTGTCTATATGTATGGATACCATTTTTGACGACGATTTCGGGCGTACGGATCAAGGGATTTGAATGATTCGATTACTATCTATAGGGAGATGTGCTGATTAGTTTTTGGCAAAGGCAGGTCCAGCCGTTACGGAGATACGGAGCAAAGAATGCAGAAAATAGAAATAGAAATTTTGAGAAAACGGAATATCGGATTTGAATGATCTAAAAAACATTCAATTTGTAATGATTGGGAGAAGAGGTGATTATTTTTTGGCAAAGGCAGGTCCAATAGTTTCAGAGATACAGAGCTAAATGTGCAAAATACGTCAGTTTTTGAGGAAACTAGGCATCCGATTTGAATGATTTAAACAACCTTATGCTTGTATTGACAAAACGATTATTTTAGCGTAAGAGAATCATTTTTTTTATTTTTCAAAATATTTTTTTTGAATATCGAAAATGATTCAGATTTAAATTTTAATTCTAGCTAAAGTTCTAACTATTACTTATATACTTGAAATAAATAATTTTAACTTTGCAATTTAATTTATATAATTCTTAGAAATAATTGGCAATGGTCTTCATCGTTAAAATCTATTTGAAATTTCTCGAATATTTTGTTACGGTACGGGAAGTTCCAGCAATTTGCCTTAAGGCACGATGCCACGAACTACTAGTTACAGATTACCTCATTTTCTTAATCCATCTTTTCATATGTCAATCTTACTTTTTTCTTCTGGTTTTATTCATTTTCAATTTAATAACTTAAACTCTATGACAATGCCAAGACTCGATCCGATGATCCCTGGCGTGTGAGTCAGAGATGCTATTCACAAGTATTTGTTAGCAAAGGAAATTGAAAATTTGATGTTTATTTTATTATTAATATCTAACGAGTTTGCTGTTCGAGAATAATTAAAATTGTTATTGCTAATTAATAATAAGTTATTGAATTTATTAAATGAAGTTTTTATATATAATATAAATAATTAAATATTTAATTATTATTCATTTAAATCAACTCTTCTCTAACAATTCTACTAACGAGTAGCGAGTATATAATACCGAATTAGCCTCCCACTCTCCGTAGCCTCGGTAGCGCAGTAGGCAGCGCGTAAGTCTCATAATCTTAAGGTCGTGAGTTCGATCCTCACCCGGGGCAATTATTTTTTATTCTCATTTTTTTAAATTAAAAAGTCTGATATTATAAACTAAGCTCTCTTATCTTATCTAAAACATTAATTCATTATTAAGAAAACGATAATTGTACATGTTTATTATAAAAATTAAAATTTTATTCTCTTTACGATGAAATTCGATTTTCATTTTCATTTTCGACAGTAGAAGTATCCTTTTCTGTATAGCTTCTTTATTGAATCCCTCTCTATATATAATTTGCTTGTCAGTTTCTTCTGTTTGCACCTCAGTACAGTCCTTTTTCATACCGCTTTTTTGGTTTGTTTTTCAGTAGAGTTTCTTTTTATCTCGTACTTGTACTTTATCCGTCAGTATTTTTAAATTCATTCCTCTGAATTGCTCGTCGTTAGAGCCTCTTTTATTCTTTACAACAAAATTCGGCTATCTCGTCAGTAGAGTCTTTTTTGTATCGTTCCTTTAGTTTGCTTGTTTATTAACTTCCGATAGGGTAAGTTATAGTAATCAACAAAAAAATCGAAAATTTATATATCTTTACGTTCTAAAGATTTCTGAACATTTTGGCATACCTTAGAGAAAATTGATGTAAGTGTGTGTATGTATGTCCGGATAAACTACTTGTATTGATAGAAATGATTAAATTTTTGGAAATGCAGGTATAGCGGTTTCGGAGATCAAGTAAATAAAAAAGCCATTTGGCGGTCAAAATAGATCTTACGAATTTTGTTCATATTTTTATGGGTACCAATGTTTATTTGTTATACTGCGATGCGGCGCTTCCGCGCTTCGATATTTTCAAAAAAAAACAATTTTTTCGTAAATTTCAAAAACTCGAAGTTGAAAATCGAATTTTTTTCCAAGTTTTAATTTTTGGCCGATTTGCTAGTCAGTAGAGTTCCTTTTTTTGCCATTTCTTTTATTTTGCTCGTCAGTAGAGTTTCTTTTCCATTTTATTTCGATTTGCTCGTCAGTAGAGTTCCTTTCTTTGCAATTTATTTTACTTTTGCTTGTCAGTAGAGTTTCATTTCCATTTTCTTTCAAATTACTAGCCAGTAGAGTTCATTTTCTTTTTTATTTCGATCTGCTCATCAGTAGAGTTTCTTTTCTATTTTATTTCGATTTATTCGTTAATAATGCTTCTCTTCATTTGTCTTTTGGAAGTTTGCTCGTCAGTAGTGTTCCTTTTTTTCTAACTTTGCTCGTCAGTAGAGTTTATTTCTTTAACATTTTTGGTTTGTTCATTAGTAGAGTTCCTTTCTTTTTTTATTTCACTTTGCTCACCAGTAGAGTCCCTTACTGTTCAAATTTTGAATTTTTCTTGATTTTTGAAAAAATTAACCCGCTGCTCGTCAATAGAGTCCCTTTTTAATCTTCAGTATCAAAATTTAGTTTGTTCGTCAGTAGAGTCCCTTTTTATCTTCTAGATAAATTTTTTTTTCGACGGTAGAGTCCCTTTTTTATCTCCTAGCTGAAAATTTATTTTGCTCGTCAGTAGAGTCTCTTTTTTGTCTTCTAGATAAAAATTTAGTTAATTAGGCAGTAGAGTCCCTTTTTTATCTTCTAGATGAAAATTTAGTTTGCTCGTCAGTAGAGTCTCTTTTTTGTCTTCTAGATAAAAATGTAGTTTGCTCGTCATTAGAGTCCCTTATCAAAATTAAGTTTGCTCGTCAGTAGAGTCCCTTTTGTGCTTTTATGGTCGGCAAATATTGTAGAAAATCAGATTGAGATTAAGAACGTGAACTAGGACAAACTACTCTTGGGCAACTCGAAATCAAGCAGTATGATATAAAATTGTCACTTAGTATTATATTAGATCTTAAGGGAGCAGTTTTGCATAATAAAATATCATTGCCATGGCAACGCTATCTTATGCTTATAGCTTGTTAATGAATCTGTAAAAATGTCTAACTATTTTCCGTGCGATCAGGCGTATTTTACATAAAAACAAGTTCGGGGGCATGTTCGAGGATTCTCTTACCATAACATTCTTCCTTGCTTTGTTTATAGGTGAATTCACACAGAAAATAAATTGTCATTTTTACAGTTTCTCTGTCAATAGATAAGCATAAGATAGTGTTGCCATGACAACACTATGTTATGAGACAGAATTACTTCAGAAGACTTCTTTTTATCTTCTAAATGACTATTTAATTTGCTTGTTAGTAGAGTTTTTAATTATAATTCATAGAAAATTTTTTATAATAATATATTTAATATATTAATAATATATTTCCAGTCCCTTATGCATGAGTTGGTAGTCACAAAACTAAGGTTTTCACAATAATGTTGCTAGAAACCTAACCTCCAAATGTCACCAACGTCAAAATGTAGAGTTAGTTATATTCATGCATAAGTTATTTGAAGGTGCAATAATTTGTTGCATGTTGCAAGACAAAATAAAATACAAATTTTTCTATAAATTTTTATTAAAAAAGTTATCAATACTATTTGTTTAATACATTTTTGTAAGAATAAAATATAAAACAACACTTTAAATTAATTAATTAATTAAATCCAATTAAAATATACACAATAAATTGCTGTTATTGTAGCTTTCAAAGCATCTTAAGTAATTAAAATAATACTTTAATTATAAAATGAATCGATTTCCAAAATATACATATTAAAATTGCACATAAGCATAAAGTATAATAATTTTCGACGTTTTGGCAGCTTATTTTGTTCATCAATTTAACTATTTATTTCATTGTAGTTGACTTTTTGTTTATTGCTGTTGCAACTGCACGTAGTTTGCGGGGAATAACCCGTATTGGTCTTTGCACAAACCTCTCCACCAACCCTCATCAATCTGGAAAGAAAAAAATTAGCAAAATATAATACAAATTTAAAAAAAATCTAAAAATGATTTCCAATGTCAATAAATAAAAAAAACTAAACAAAAAAGACATCTTTTTGTAATAAAGTCTAATTTTCACATTCTAATTTTCCGCTAAATCTAACTCAAACATTTGACCCGCGCGTCCGCCATTTTTGACAGTTTTCACAAATCAAATAAACTCTTCACAAACAGTATCCATTATTCATACCTTTTATTCATCACCATTTCTAAACTATTAAATATTATTATTATTATTATTATTAATATTAATATTATTTTGGTTATAAATCTAAATAAAATTATAAATATAAATTTACGAAATCCTTAAGTCAAAACTAAAGTCATTTATGTATAGTTACAAGTAATTACATATACAACTAGATAAGGGACAACCATTGGGTTGCTTTCGAACAGATTCTTGTAAACATTATTAAACGATTATGAAAAAGCTGAAGCTTCTGATAAAAAAATTAGTTTACTTGTTACTATAATTTGTTTTTGTCAGTTTGCTCGTCAGTAAGGTTCCTTATTTTTATCGTGTCGAAATTTAAGTTTGCACGTCAGTAGAATCTATTGTTAAACTTGTTAGTTGCTATTTAATTCGCTAGTCAGTAGAGTTCCTTTGCAAAATTAAATTTGTCGTCAGTAGAGTCCTCTTTTACTTTTTAGATCAAAATGTATCTTCTAGATACAAATTTAGTTTGCTTGTCAGTAGAGTTCCTGTCTAATTTTTTACATCAAATTTTAGTTTGGTCGTCAGTAGAGTCCCTTTACAATATTTAAATATTTTTAAATTTTCTAGATTGGAATTTAATTTTTGTCCGTTAGTAGAGTTCCTTTTTGGTCTTCTAGATTAAAATTTAATTTGTGCTCGTCAGTAGTCTCTTTTTTAATTTTCCAGATTAAAGGAGAGTCTCTTTTTATATCTTCTAGATCAAATTTAAGTTCGCATGACAGTACAGTCGCTTTTTAATTCTCTAGATTAAAATCCAAGTTGTGCTCGCCAGTAGAGTCCTTTTTTAATTTTCTAGGTTAAAATGAAGTTAGTTCATCAGTAGAGCCCTTTCTTATTTTTTACATCAAAATTTAATTTGTGCTCTTCAGTAAAGTCCCTTTTTGGAATTCAAGAGCAAAATTTAATTTGCTCGTCGGTAGAGTCCCTTTTTGAACTTTTGGATCAAAATTACGCTTGCTTGTCAGCAGAGTTTATTTTTGGATTTGGACCCATTCTCGTCAGTAGAGTTCCATTTGTAATTTTCTAGAATCTAGATCAAATTTAGTTTGATCGTCAGTAGAGTTACTTTTTTATTTTCTTTAGTTTGATTGTCAGCAGAGTTCCTTTTTGGTCTTCTATATCAAATTTAATTTGAAAAATAACTTCGAATTTAATAAAAAAAGACTCTACTGACGAGCAAATATGGAATAATAACTTATAAATAATAATATAATTATAAATAAAAGAAAACTCTATTGATAACTTATAAGATTAAAAAAAAAATTTTGCTGATGAACAAATAAAAATGTCAATCGAAAAATGAACTCTACTGTTGAACAAATGAACATGTCAGTAGTAAGTAAAAAGGGACTACTGACGAGCAAACAAAAATATTGATAGGAAATGAGGGACTCTACTGATGAACAAATAAAAATGTCGATTGAGAAAAAGGGACTCTATTGATGAACAAATAAAAATATCACTTAGTATATAAAAAGACTCTACTGACGAGCAAACTTAAATTTGATGTAAAAAATTAAAAATGGACTCTACTGACAAACAAAATACAACAAAAATGGGACTCTACTGACGTACAAACTGAAATTTGATCCAAAAGTCCAAAAAAGGGACTCTACTAACGAGCAAATTAAATTTCCATATAGTAGATTAGAAAAGGAACTCTACTGACGAGCAAGTTAAATTTTGATCTAAAAAGTAAAAGAGGACTCTACTGACGACAAATTTAATTTTGCTCTAGAAGATTGAAACAGGGACCCTACTGACGACCAAATTCCCTTTTTTGAATTAATGGATCGAAAATCTTTTCTAATCGTTTCGAAGAAAATCAATTTTATTCTAATTTGCGTGTCAGTAGAGTTCTTTTTTCTTCTAATATGAGATTCAATGTTTTGTTTTAATTTCGTTCGTTGGTAGAGTTCTTTCTGCAATAGAATTCACAGAATTTGCTCGTCAGTAGATTTCTTTTCTAGAAGAAGTATTTATTTTCGGATTAAATAGTATTTATTTTCGAATTAAATAATTTTAACCTTACAATTCAGTTTATATAAATCTTAGAAATATGAGATAAGGTCTTTTAATTCTAACTCCTCTTGATATATAAACATATATAAACCTTATCGTCCAATTTATAAACTCTTATATTTTGTCTATAAAATACGATTAATGAATGAAGTCACAGTATTTATAATAATCTATTTGAAAACATTTAATAATCCTCAAATATTTCGTTACGGTACGGAAAGTTATGGGTAAAAATTTTAGCTAAGCACAGTCTAAGTAACTAACCGGTACAAACATTTTCACAAGCGCATTTACACTATGACTTCACTTCACATCGACCTCTATCCTAAATTCCTCTCACCATATCGATATGCGTAATGACATCATCAGGATCGAAGGATATCTCATCCTCGGCAGCGGCCTGGTAATCGTACAGGGCGACTAATTCGTTGGAACGAAGTTATAGTAATTTATTTATAATCTACTTAAAAACATTTAATATCCCTCGAATATTTCATTACGGTACGGGAAGTTCCAGCAATTTACCTTACTATACCACTAGGTTAGGGTACAAATTTAAGAAAATACCCAAACTAAGCACAGTCTAAGTGACAACCCGGTACAAATGTTTTCGCAAGTGCGTTTAGACTATGACTTTACTGGAACACTTTTCCAATTTTGTATAAAATATTATTAAAAACAATTTTTGGAAATTTACTAGTATAAGCACAGTCTAAGTAGTAACTTCTCACAAATATATTAGCAAGTGCGTTTAGACTGTTTCTGTACTGGAACATTTTTCGAATTTTATGTAAAACTATAAAAATGTAATTTTGGGTTAAAAATTCGAAAAATTACCCAGACTAAGCACAGCCTAAGCGACAACCCGGTACAAATGTTCTCGCAAGTGTGTTTAGACTGACTCGCAAATCGGAATTATGGGTATCCGATGAATGAGGATCTCTTTATCTCTTAAAGACTTTACTGACGAGCAAATTGAAATGAAAGCGATAAAGGACTCTACTGACGAAATAAAATAAAAACAATAAAACAAAAGAAACAATAAGAAAAACGAATTCTACTGACGAGCAAAATACAATAATAAGAGAAAGGAACTCTACTGACAAGCAAACTAATTAAAGGAGAAAAGGAACTTTACTGACAAGCAAATTTTATTTTAATCTAGATAACCAAACAAAGACTCTACTGACGAGCAAACTTTAATTTAACTACTGTAAACTTCACAATAATAAAGAACTCTACTGTAAACTTCATAATTTGAAAAAAGTGACTCTACTGACGAGCAAACTGCACATTGACCTACAAATTTGAAAAAAGAGACTCTACTGACGACCAAACTTAAATAAGATTAAAAGAGGATTTTATTGACGAGCAAAATAAATCAAAAAAGGAACTCTACTGACGAGCAAATTAAAAAGTGATCCAGAAGATAAAAACCCGTTCAACAATAATTTCAAATATTATTTACAACAAAACGTTTAGCTAGTCTAAAGGGATCGTTCAAGTATTACGTAAGCAGATTTAATACAATTATTTACCCCGCCCCCTCCCCTTTGTCAGCAAAATTAAGCAAATTTCTTACTCAAAAATAAGCAAAATAAGCAAATCAATAATCCCCTCGCGCCCCTATAGTGCTTACGTAATACTTGAACGGCCCCAAAGAAGTTTTACTTCAAAAAAATTAAATTCTAGCTTTTATGGCATGTGGGGTATCGTTTGAAAGGTCTCGACGAGTAGAAAACGATTGTTACGAAATAAAATGTATTATAATACTCAGCTACTTTTGATACCATATATATGTATATTTATATATATACTATATATATGGAGCGTAACATGGCCTTGTCATAACATTGGTCCCTAGTTTTTTTTCTTACCATATCGATATGCGTAATAACGTCATCAGGATCGAAGGATATCTCATCCTCGGCAGCGGCTTGATAATCGTAAAGAGCGACTGCCACTAGGCCCGAATCTTCGACAACGCCATCCTGTATTTCTTGCAAATCCTCTTCGGCTTCGGCTGCAAGAGCCGCCTTCAATTCGGCCTCAGTGGCGGCGTTAACCTCCGCCTCTAATTTCTCGAATCCTTTCAGGGACGATGAGTCGTCCTTTGGGGACGAAGGCGACAGGCTGATTTCGCTTATGTCGCTTATCTGGGGAAAAAAAAGAGTAAAATAAATTTGGTTGAATGAAATTACTGTACGGAAGAGTGGATAGAAATGCTTTGAGTGTGAAGTTTGTGTGTTAAGATTTGAATTTTAAATTAGTGCATTTATATGAATTGAATTTAAATATTTGGAGGCAAATTAATTAGTTTATTAAATATATATTAAAATAAAATTACTTATTTAAAAATTCTTGTTTGTTTGGTTTTCAAGTATGTTTAAACAAATATTGTCTCAAACGTGTATTATTTTATGCTAAATATTTATGTAACAAAAGAAAGAGACTCTACTGACGTGCAAATTAAAGTAACATAAAAGGGACTCTACTGACGAACAAACTAAATTTTAATCCAGAAGATAATAAAAGGGACACTACTGACGAGCAAAATTAAATTTTCATCTAAAAGATTAGAAAATTGACTTTACTAGAAAATGAAAAAGAGACTCATTGACGAGCGAATTAAAACAAAAAAGAGACTCTACTAACAAGCAAATTAAATTTTGATCTAGAAGATTAAATAACTACTGACGAAATAACTTGAAATTTGATCTTGAAAATATAAAAAAAACTCTACTGACGAACAAACCCAATTTTGATACTGATTGTTAAAATAGTGACTCTGCTGACGAGCAAAATGAAACAAAAAAGGGACTCTACTGGCGAGCAAATTGTGTGAACTCCATTTCAAGAAAAGTTGCAAAAAGAACTTTACCAACGAACGAAATTAAACCAAAACCTCAATTTAGAGAAAAAGAACACTACCGACAAGCAAATTGGAATAAAATTAATTTTTATCTAAAAGATTAGAAGGATTTTTGATCCAGTAATTCAAAAAAGGGACTCTACTGACGAGCAAACTAAAATTTGATCTGAAAAAAATTAGATAAAGGAATCTACTGACGAGCACAAATTAAATTTTAATCTAGTAGACCAAAAAAGGGACCCTACTGACGGGTGAAAATTAAATGCCAATCTAGAAAATTTAAAAAGGGACTTTACTGATGCAACCAAGCAAACTCAAATTTTGCCCCAGAAGATTAAAAAAGGAACTCTACTGACAAGCAAACTCAATTTTGATTCAGAAGATAGAAAAGGGACTTTACTGATGAGCAAAATATAACATAAAACGAATATATAATCTAAACTTAATTTAGATTTACAAAACAATTAAAGGAATTCTACTGACGAGCAAACTCAAAAATTTGATCTACAAATTTGACGAGCAAACTTTACATTGATCCAGAAATTTGAAAAAGGGATTCTACCGACGAGCAAACTTAAATTTAATCTGGAAATTTGAAAAAAGGGACTCTACTGACGAGCAAACTTGGATTTTGAACCAAAAGATAAAAAAGAGACTCTATTTACGAACAAAATAATACAAAGAAGGATTCTACTGACGAGCAAACTTAAATTTGATTCGGAAATTTGAAAAAAGGGACTTTACCGATGAGCAAACTTAAATTTGATCTAAACAATGAAAAAGGGACTCTACTGATCAGAAAATTAAATTAACAATAAAATTGACTCTACTAACGAGCGAATTTTAATTTAATCTAGAAGACTAAAAAAGGACTCTATTGACGAGCAAACTTTATTATGATCAAGAAGATAAAAAAGAACTCTACTGACGAAGAACTTAATTTTGATCTAAAAAACAAGACAATGAGACTCGTGCAAATTAAATGAACAAAAATGGTCTCTACTGATAAGTATACTAAATTTTGATAAAGAAAATTAGAAAAGCGACTCTACTGACTAGCAAACTTAATTTAATCCAGAAGTTTCAAAAAGGGACTCTACTGACAATCAGCCTTAAACTTGATCTAGAGATTTAAAAAGGACTCTACTGACGAAGAACTTAATTTTGATTTAACAAAAAAAACAAGAGACAGCGACTTTACTGACGAGCAAATTCAAAAGCGTCTACTGAGAAGCGATTTAAATACTTATCAATAATTTAAAAAATTAATTTAAAAAATAGTAAAGTTATGTATAAAACTTTCCTAGGCCTATAATATTTTACGATGCTAATGAACTCTATCACTCAATCAGCTTACATACATACATATATATTTTGAATTATATTTTCAAAATAAGGATTTTAATTTTTTCATACTTATTACTTAACTTATCACATAGGCTAATAGAAACATTGTCTTCTGATTGTCTATTAAATAATATATAAAATAAAAAAAAATCGTAGGACTGTTCCAGATATAATCGAGGAACTGAGGAAGTGCTCAAAGTTATAATGTAATTTTGTAATAATTATAATTCGTGTTTAGATAAATTTCCATTTGATTGTGCAAACGTTTCATGTCGTAAATTTTTAGTATTTTTCTCATAAAAAGTCGTTCAAGTTGATGAATCGGGACATCAAAAATGGGGCGAATTAGATTGTGGTTGGATATGGATAAATATTATATATATACAAGTAAAAATGATATGCATAAATATATATATATATATATATATATATATATAATATACCTATTACTTACCTCTTGGAACTTCAACTTGCTCTCATTAGGCACCACATCAGGCGGTATCGACTTATTGACACTATCTCCGTTCTCCTTCGGCAATTGTATAGGCAGACTCCTAACCGGCGATTTCACCTTTCCTTTAATCTTAAACTCTTCATCTTGGGGTTTGTTGAAGGCGTCGATAGCACTACTGATACTATTTTGACGACCAGTGGTGATTTTTTCGGGAACCACATGATTGTTTTGTTCTTGTTCGATTTGTTCGATTTGTGGGATTTGTTGTTCGATTTTTTGTTGCTGTTGTTTTTTGGCTAATTCTCGTTCCCTTAATTCGTCCATTCGGCGTCTCTCGCGTTCCATCTGGGCCCTTTGACGTACTTGCTCTTCGCTCTCTTTGGCCATGTTTTCGAAACGGGCTTTTATCGACGAGGGCTTCGCGGAACCTGGGGGGTGTAAAGGGCACAGGTTGTAGTATAAACGGGAGTATATTGATGTGGGGTATCAAATGAAAGGTCTTGACGAGTACATTACAAAAATTGTAAAAAAAATTTGGAATTTGATAAAATTTGTTTAACAAAACATGCTAAAACGTATGTCTAAGGATGTTCTGACGTCAAATTGCAAAAGTTTAAAGTTCTATACTAGATATTATTATTGGCAATTTAATTTAGCGCAAATTTGCCGAATATTGCATTCATTTTGCACAATAGGTTCAAAAGTTACAAGAGTTTTAATGAAAAGTCGACCAATGGGTTGCAGCACGAAGGTCTATAATGTTTGTACATCAATTATGGCTTGTGGGGTATCAAATAAAAGGTCTTGACAAGTATATAAAGGATATAATAATGGTTTTTAATTTTCATTTAATTCGCTTAACAAAATATGCTGAAACGTTTGTATATAACCTAAAAGTTAAATGACAATATTTAGTTTGCTCTTCAGTAGAGTCCCTTTTTTAATATTCTGGATCAAAATTTCAATTTGCTCGTCAGCAGAGTTCTCTTTTTCAGTTTTTTAACTTCCCGTAGGGTAAGTTATTGTAATGGGCCGAAAATCGGAATTGAAATTTTTTACATTTCTCGACGTTTTGAAGGTTTCTGAACGTTTTGGCATACCTCAGAAAAAATGGATGTGTGTGTGTGTGTGTGTGTGTGTGTGTATGTATGTATGGATACAAATTTTCGCCCACGTTTTCGGGCGTACGGATTAACCGATTTGAATAATTTAAAAAACATTCGATTCCTATTGATAAGGAGAAGAGCTGATTAGTTTTTGGCAAAGGCAGGTCCAGCAGTTACGGAGATAAGGAGCAAAGAGTGCAGAAAATTGTAATCAAGTTTTTGAGAGAACGGAGCATCCGATTTGAATGATATAAAAAACATTCAATTAGTAATGATTAGGAGAAAGGGTTATTAGTTTTTCGCAAAGGCAGGCCCAGCCATTTCGGAGATACAGAGCTAAATGTACAAAAAATGGCAGTTTTTGAGAGAATTAAGCGTCCGATTCAATTGATTCAAAGAACTTTCTGCTTGTCTTAACAAAATAATTGATTTTGGAAAAAAAAATTTGTACCATTTTTTTTTTTTTTTTTTTTTTAATTTTTTATTTTTTTTTGTATATCGAAAATAATTCAGATTTTATTTTCAATTCTGACTATAGTTCTAATATACTTTAAACAAATAATTTCAACTCTGCAATTCAGTTTATATAATTCTTATAAATATTAGACAATGTTACAATATTTATAATAATCTATTTGAAAACATTCAATATTCCTCGAACATTTCGTTACGGTACGGGAAGTTCCAGCAATTTGCCTTAAGGCACGATGCCACCCACCCCACTAGTTTTAGATTTAAATTAAGTTTGCTCATTAGTAAAGTTTTATTTTTCTTGCTTTTTTAAGATCTGAATTAGGTTTGCTCGTCAGTATAGTCCCTTTGTTTTATTATTTCTTGTTATATTTTGTTCGTCAGTAGAATTTTCGTTGTCTTGTTTGTTAGATCTAAATTAAGTTTTTTAGATCGTCAGTAGGGTCCCTTTTTTAATCATCAGTATCAAAAATTAGTTTGCTCGTCAGTAGAGCCCCTTTTTTGCTTTATTTTAGTCAGAAGAGTCTTTTTTTGTTTTTTTGAACCTAAAATAAGTTTGCTCCTTTTTGCTTTTTAGATCTAAATTATGTTTGCTCGTCAGTAGAGTTCTGCTATTTAATCTTCTAGATCAATGTAAAGTTTGTTCTTCAGCAGAGTTTTTTAATCTCATTTCTTGATTTAAAAAAAATTCTACTGACAAGCAATAGAATCGAAAAGACTCTACTAACGATAACATAAATGTCAAGAAATAAATTTTTACAAGACAAGTAAATAAAAATGTTGTCACTTCAAATTCCAAAAAATGGCATGTGAGGTATCATTTGAAAGAAAATAACGAGTATAATTAGAGTATCTTACTTATATTTAAATTTGAACTACTTTCTTTTCTCTCAACTATTCTCAAGGGATAGAGCTAGTGCAAATTGTTCTTGAAATTCAGAACTAAAATATATTTGAAAAATACAAACCTATATCTGGTTTAGCTCTAGTATAATTAGTTCCAACCGCCTCTGTCTGTTCCTTAAACGATACTGCTGATTTGTCCATTCTGTCCGTCTGTACACCAAATTTACCGCCAAAACCCTAAAAATAAAAAAATACAATCATATAGAATCACTTGAACAAATAAAGTAATATGTGGTAGAAAATATTTCAATATGAGGTATCTAAATTATCTATAAGTCGATATCGAATGATAGTAGTTTTAAAACGTTAATATATAATACATGTTTTAAACGAAATTTAATAGTAATTCAGTCATTATTAAATACTTACAACTTTGTGATCGACTTGACTCTCGTGTTTCTGGGGTGCTTCGTGATGGTCCCAGCCGAGGGCTGATTTATCTTGACGATCTTGTTGGACACCGAATTTGCCACCAAAACCCTTAAAAAAAAACAACTTCATAATACACACATACACATATTATTATATATAAGCTCGTCAGTCCTTTGTCTGTTATTTCAGGTTGCTCGTCAGTAGAGTCCCTTTTATCTTTTGTTTTCAGTTTCTTCTTCATTAGAGTCCCTTTTTTGTTTTATTTTGCTCGTCATCAATTTCCCTTTTTTGTTATATGACAATTAGCTTTTTAATGATATATAACAATATATACACGCCTAAACAATATCTTTTCAAAATATTTGCAATTTGAATTTTGAATCTTAACGGTTGTTGTAAACGCGCCAACTTCACACTCGAAGTATTTTGTCCGCGCTTCCGCGCAGTAACTTTTAATTGTCAAATTAGATAAAAATTTTAGTTCTGTTACATTTTGTTTAAATAATCAGTTATGTTATTTTAATAATATATTATTAATTATAAGTTGATATATATTAAGTAATTCAATGTATTCGCCTTGAAATATTCAAAATTGTGATTTTTTAATACTAATATAATATATTTATGTGAATTTTTAGCAATTTGAAATTCAAATCTTAACGCGCGAACTTCACACTCTAAGTATTTTGTTCGAAATTTTGCGTGCAGTAATATACTAAAATATGGAATGGCTTTAGTAAGTTCCAAATTCTTTAATAAGATAACATAAAGTTAACATAATTTAACAAATATAATTATTTAAGTTTATTAACAAATATATATATATACTAGCTGACCCGGAGAACTTTGTTCTAATTATAAATTAACAACAATTAATATATAACTATTTACACTTTTATTACAAATTTTGAGGTTATGTTAAGAAACTATGTTTCAAATTTTTTTTTTATTAATTTGTTAATGATTATACTTCTATTCTACGTCATATACTCTATTTAAATACGTATAAACAAATATACATAAATACCTAAGTATATAAATAATTACATTCCCATTTTCTAGAAATAAATTTCTCTATCGTTCATCTGGTATCGCTTGCTATTATTCAGAATTAATTTATTTGCGATCTCGTAATAATTTTCCGTGGTGATTAAAAAATTGATATTAATATATTTGTATCAAAACAAAAACACCGGTTGACAGTTGACAGTTATAAGTAAATGTCATGGATAAAAAATGAATCATAAATTGAATAAACTAAATGGATTATTTATAATTAATTAATTTTGAATTTGAATGCAAATTTGAAAGATAAAAAGTATCCTATGTCTTTCTCCTGGCTCTAAACTAACTTCCTGCCAATTTTCGGCTAAATCGGTTCAGCCGTTCGTGAGTTATAAGTGTTGTAACTAACACGATCCTCTTTTATATATATATATATATATATATATATATATATATATAAAATTATTCTTATACATACAACTTTATGATCGGTTTGACTTTCATGTTTCTGTGGTGCCTCATGATGGTCCCAACCGACTGCTGATTTGTCTTGTCGGTCATCTTGGACACCAAATTTGCCACCAAAACCAACTGCATAATCTGAAAAAGACATAAGACATTTATTATATATATATATATATATATATATATATATATATATATATATATATATATATATATAGTATCCTTTACCCTTTTGTGATTCGTGTTTTTCAACCTTCTCGATATGATCCCAACCGACAGCAGATTTATCGACTCGATCATTCTGTACACCAAATTTACCACCAAAACCGGTACTGTAGTCTTTTTGGGAGGCGTGCTTTTCGATTTTTTCTTTGTGTTCCCAACCAACGGCACTCTGAAAAAAAAAATTAAATTTTTAATGAATTAACATAAACGTGGGCGAGATTTTGTAGATTTTTAGCATGTTTTGTTAAACAAATTTATTCAAAATTCAAAATGTTTATTATATTCTTAATGTGCGAGTCAAAACCTTTCATTAGATACCCCACATCGAAAAAAATGTTTGGAATTTGACGTGACAACATCTTTACCCATTACAAATTTAATTAATACCAGTCACATTATTAATTTATTTATTCTTGTCACCAATAAAATTATTAAATTGACAGAAATTAAATGTATAGAATATATTCTGCCTAAACGAGTGCTTCCGAAACCTTTTTTAAATGTGCTCATGAAGAGCTTTCATTTGATACCCCACTTAGAAAATTGGTTTGCTTGCCAGTAGAGTCCCTTTTTCATTTTATTTCGGGTTGCTCGTCAGTAGAATCCTCTTTTGTCCTTGTTAGACGATAAAAATGGACTCTACTGCCAAGCAAAGTCGATTTGGATCCAGGAGATAAGAAAGGACTCTACTGATGAGCCAAATAAAACAAGGGTCTCTACTGACAAGCAAACTCAATTTTAATACTAATGATTAAAAAGACAACTCTACTGATGAGCAAACTAAATTCTGATCCAAAAGATTAAAGAAAGGGTTCTAATGACGGGAAAACTGAATTTTCATCCAGAAGATCAAAAAAGGGACTCCACTCACTAGCAAACTTAATTTAGATCCAAAAGATTAGAAAAGGGACTCTACTGACGAGCAAACTGAATGTTCATCCAGAAGATTAAAAAAGGAATTCTAGTGACGATCAAACTTTACATTGATCTAGAAGGTTAAAAAAGAGAACTCTACTGACAAGCAACCTTAATTTAGATCTTAAAAAAAAGAGAAAAAAGTACTCTACTGACGAGCAAATTAAAATTTTGATCCACAATATTAAGAAAGGGACTCTACTGACAAGCAATATAAAATAAGAAAAAGCAGCTCTACTGACGATCGTAGTCAAATTTTAATCCAGAATATTGAAAAGAGAACTCTTCTGACAAGGATACTTAATTTAGATCTAAAAAAAAAACAGGAAAAAGTGACTCCACTGACGAGCAAACTAAATGTTGTCATTTATCTTTTAGGTTAACTACATACGTTTTAGCATGTTTTGTCAAACAAATTTAAAACGCTTATTATATTATTAATGTAATCGTCAAGACCTTACATTTGATACCCCATATGCCATATTTGGCGTGACAATGTCTTGACCCGCTGTACTGTTTATAGTTCAGCAACCCATTGGTCTACTTTTCGTTATATCTCTTGTAACTTTTGAACTGTTTATCCGAGATAAATGAAATATTTGGTGAATATGTACTAAATTAAATTGTCTATAATACTGTCTAGTATAGAAATAAAACAAAACTTAAATTTGTTGAAATTTGAAGTAACAACATCCTTAGACATACGTTTTAGCATGTTTTGTTAAATGAAAGTAAGCAAAATTCAAAATTCTTTATATTTTTGTAATGTACTCATCAAAACCTTTCATTTGATACCCCACATGACACATTTGACTTAAAAACGTCTTAACCCATTGTTCGGCAACCCATTGGTCTACTTTATATTATATCTCTTGTAACTTTTGAACCGTTCGTCCGAGATAAGTGAAATATTCGGCAAATTTGTACTAAATTAAATTGTCTATAATATTATCTAGTATAGAAACGTAACAAAACTTTAAACATTTAAAATTTGACATGACAACATCTTTACACCTACGTTTTAGCATGTTTTGTTAAACAAAAGTAATCAAATTTCCAAATGCCTTATATTTTTGTAATATACTCATCAAAACCTTTTATTTGATACCCCATATGACATATTTGATATCATCTTAACCCACTATACAGCAACCCATTGGTCTACTTTCGTTACATCTCTTATAACTTTTGAACCGTTCGTCCGAGATAAATGGAATATTCGGTAAACTTATGCTAAATTTGTTTGTCTATAATACTGTCTAGTAAAGAAATGAAACAAAACTTTAGTATTTTGGAATTTGATGTGAAAACATCCTTACACATACGTTTTAGCATGTTTTGTTAAACAAAAGTAACCAAAATTCAAAATATCTTATATTTTTGTAATATACTCATCAAGACCTCTCATTTGATACCCCACATGATATACTAGACAAGCTAAAGTCATGGGCCATTGTGCAGCAACCCAATGGTCCACTTTTCATTTTATCTCTTGTAACTTTTGAACCGCTCGTCCGAGATAAACGGAATATTCGGTGAAATTGTACTAAATTAAATTGTCTTTTTTGTAATATACTCATCAAGACCTCTCATTTGATACCCCACATGATATACTAGACAAGCTAAAGTCATGGGCCATTGTGCAGCAACCCAATGGTCCACTTTTCATTTTATCTCTTGTAACTTTTGAACCGCTCGTCCGAGATAAACGGAATATTCGGTGAAATTGTACTAAATTAAATTGTCTATAATACTGTCTAGCAAAGAAATGAAACAAAACTTTAGTATTTTGGAATTTGATGTGAAAACATCCTTAGACATACGTTTTAGCATGTTTTGTTAAACAAAACCAACTAGATTTCCAAATGCTTTGTATGATCGTTGACGACAAGTAAAACTATACAATCATATGTATACATAAAGTTTTAAACAAAATTTCAGTAATAATTTAATATATGTCTGCAATGTTACCATAGGGATAACTGACTAGAAACGCGAAGCAACCGAAAAGTTGCTACAGGGATAACTGACTTGAAATTTTGTTCTTAGCAACAAAATATTAGAAAATCCCAAGAAAATTATATGAACACACTTAACCATTTATATATCATTTCATTCGTAATTTTATTCTGCATCTTTCGTACGAACAAAGTTTTTTTCATCGAGACCTTTCATTTGATACCCCACATACCTTACGTATTTTTCAACCCTTACCTTATCTATTCGATCAGTCTGCACCCCAAATTTGCCCCCAAAGCCGGTACTGTAATCCTTTTGCGAAGCATGTTTTTCAACTTTAGACACATAATCGTGCCCTACGGCGACTTTATCCATTCTGTCTTTTTGTACACCGAATTTTCCTCCGTAGCCGAAGGCCGCCTTAGGCCCTTCCTCCAACTGCTTTCGTTTGTGCTCGGCGTCTGCTATCGCTGTCTCTTCTCTTAGCTGGTTCATACTGTGGGAGAGAAAGGGATAAAGAATATATTCCTTAAAAAATTTAATTAAAAATATATAATGCATGGAAGCCTAAAGGGTTTTTGGGTATATGGCTATGATATTCGTATAGTGCTCGTCGAGGCCTTTCATTTGATACCCCACATGCCATATGTAACGTCACAATATCTTTACCCGCTGTACTGTTTATAGTTCGGCGCAACCCATTGGTCTACTTTCGTTACATCTCTTGTAACTTTTGAACCGTACGTCCGAGATAAATGAAATATTCGGTGAATTTGTGTTAAATTGAATTGTCTATAATATTGTCTATTAAAGAAACCTTACATCAACTCGGTATACTTTAAAATGTAATATTTAAGATCTCTGCTGACAAGCAAATTCAGCAAAAATAGTTTTCAAAATACTGGAAGAGTTCTATCATTTTTCTTGAATCTTCAGTGATAATCAATTTCGAAAATTATTAGTGAAATGTTATTTTACAAGGAATAAAGGATTTTATTGACGAGCAAATTTATAAATTATTAGTAAAATGAGATAAGAAATGAACTCTATTGATGAGCAGATTTGAATAGTTCTTGTTGAGACCTTTCATTTGATACCCCACATGCCATATGTGACGTCACAACATTTTAACCCGCTTTACTATTTATAGTTCAACGCAATTGGTTTACTTTTCAATATATCTTGTAACTTTTGAATAGTTTGTCTGACATAAATGAAATATTCGGCAAATTTGTGCTAAATTAAGTTGTCTATATTGTTGTTACTTTAAAATTGCAAAAATTTATAATATATTATATAAAATTAATTGGTTAGTAAAGTTTCCTGTTGATTTTTTAAGAATGTAGATATGATATTTATGTAGTGTTCGTCGAGACCTTTCATTTGGTACCCCACATGCCATATGTGACGTCACAACATCTCAACCCGCTGTACTGTTTATAGTTCGGGGCAACCCATTGGTCTGCTTTCGTTACATCTCTTGTAACTTTTGAACCGTAGGTCTGAGATAAATGGAATATTTGGCAAATTTGTTGTAAACTAAATGATCTATACTTTTTTATAAGATTGTAGGACTATACACCAACTTGGTATGCTTTAAATAGAAAACAATATATATTATAATTTGAATAAATAGTTTATATTATCTTTTATTGGTTTGTTGAGTCTATAAGTACGATTTTTATATAGTGCTCATCGAGACCTTTCATTTGACACCCAATATGTCATATATGATGTCACAACATTGTAACCCGCTGTACTGTTTATAGTTCGGCGCAACCCATTGGTCAACTTTCGTTACATCTCTTGTAACTTTTAAACCGTTTGTCCGAGATAAATGCGAAATTCGGCAAATTTGTTCTAAACTAAATGTTTTATACTTTTTACAATATATTAATACACTATATAAAAACTTGGTATTTAAATGGAAAATAATTGTATTACAAATTGAATATATGGTTTATACGATATCTTATTGGTTTGTTGAGTCTATAAGTATGATTTTTATATAGTGTTCGTCGAGACCTTTCACATGCCATATGCGACGTCACAATATTATATTCGCTGTACTGTTTATAGTTCCGCGCAACCCATTGGTCCACTTTCGTTACATCTCTTGTAACTTTTGAACCGTTTGTCCGAGATAAATGTAATGTTCGGTGAATTTGTTTTAAATTAAATTGCTTATAATATTGTCTAGTATAGAAACCTTACAACAAGTTGGTGTACTTTAATATAGCAAAATTGATATTAGAAAGCGAATATATGGTTTGTATGGAATTTGTTCGTTAGTAGAATCCTTTTTTCTAAAATGATTTTTTAGCATTTTTTTCTGAATTTGTTCGTTAGTGAAGTCCCTTCTTTTTTGTCAAATAACATTTCACTAATAATTATCAAATTTGCTCGTTAGTAAGGTCCTTTTTATAACATTTTATTTTTATTCTTATCAAATACGTCTTGAATTGCATTTTTTGAATTGTCCTTTTCTCTGTGACATTTTCTACCAAAATTTTTCTCAAGGACAAGATCAATTCCTCGTCAGTAGAGTCCCTTTTTGTTTATGACGAATGACTTACTATTATTTAGTACGTATAACAAATTTTTATCTGCTCGTCAGTAGAGTTCATTTTAATCTTCCGGATCAAAATTCAGTTTGCTCGTCAGTAGAGTACATTTTAATTTTCTAGATTAAAATCAGGTTTGCTCGTCAGTAAACTCCTTTTTGGTTCATTTGCTGGTCAATCACATCTATCTTTTAGATCAAATTGAATTTGTGCTCCTCAGTAGAGTCTCTTTAGAGAGACTAAAGGGACTCTACTGACGAGAAAGGAAAAGGAACTCTACTGACGAACAAATTTTGTCATTCTTAGAAATAAATAATTCTACTGACGATCAAATTCGGGTTCTTTTATAAAAAAATGAACTCTAATGACGAGCAAATTTTGTCATTATTAGAAAAAAAAATTCTACTGACAATCAAATTCAGGCGTTTTTTAATAGAATCTCTTAATTTTTAATTGAAAAAGTCAGCATCAAATTCCTAACTTTTTTAATTTAATTCTACTGACGAGCAAATTCTGTCATTTTAGAAAAAAACGAACTCTACTGACGAGTAACTTCAAACTTTTTTTAAATTTTATCATTCTTAGAAAAGTCGAGCTTTTTCTTGAAAAAAAAAACTACTGATGATCAAATTTCTGACTTTTGATGACGATCAAATTTTGTCATTATCAGAAAAAAAAACTCTATAAAATAAAAATAAATTTGAAAAAAATAACAAGAGAAAATTATCACATACATAAAAGGACTCCACTGACGAGCAAACTATAATAAATAGAAAAAGGGACTCTACTGACGAGCAAAATGGAATTAACCCAAAAAAAGGACTCTACTGACCAGCAAATTCAGTAAAATTGCTCCCACAAGGAACACACAAGAAATAAAAGAACTCTATTGACGAGCAAAATAATATTAGAAGAAAAAGGGGATTTACAAGATGTAATATTTTATTTACTAATTTGTAACAAAAACGATACGGCAGCGTTTTTTTTTCAATTTTATATAAATGATAGAAATATAATTTTGGGTTAAAAAATGCAAAAAAGTACCCAAACTAAGCATAGTTTAATTGAAAACCTGATATGAAAGTTCTCGGAAGTGCGTTTAGAATGTGACGATATCAGAGCGTTTTCCCAATTTTATGCAAATAATAAAAAAAAATTTTTTTGGTCAAAAAATGCAAAAAAGTACCCAAACTAAGCACAGTCTAAGCGAAAACCTGTAACAAATATATTTGCATGTACGTTTAGAATGTGACTATACGCGTTTTTTTTTGAATTTTGTGGAAAAAATGAAAAAAAATAATTTTATTGGAAAAAATAAAAAAAAACTTCGGGAAGTTAAAAATCGTACTAGGCACAATCTAATTGATAACTTCATGCAAATATATTCGCAAGTACGTTTAGAATGTTACTTAAAAAAATAAATACATTATTTATATGAATTTAAGAATAAAAACTTGGCTTAAAGGTAATAAATACAACTTATATTTAATATAATTATTTATTATTAATATTTACTCAATAGCCCCAGCGGTTCGGCCACTTTTAGACCCCCATCTCTGTTCATGTTCATCCACATCATTAACAAAATTCGGATCAGTTTCCCAATCATCATCATCAGTAGGTGATGAATCTAAATTAATTTGTCTTCCAGCTTGAGCTTTCCACATTTTGTAAACTAAAACTATTATTTAACACTATTTATTTATTTTTCCACTATTTTTTACCACTGCTTTCTTTCATACGTCACTTGAGAAAATGACAGCTCGGTCTATTACTCTATTATAACCTAAAACACGATTTGTTTTGAGTTTATTCTCACGATAATTTGGTTTGTTGTGGGGTTTTTGTTATTTGTTTTTTGTTTAAGTTATGAAGAGAATGTTATGGAATTGATTATTTGTGTTTAAAAAACATGACTAATTGGAAATTGTTCATTTTGATAAATATTTTTATCGCGAAATGATAAAACAGCGCACACGAAGCTCTCACCTACTAAACTGGGAGTGATATCTTGCGGGGGATAGAGGAACTAAGATAGGTGGTTGTTGTATAGGATTAAAATGGTGTGAATATTTTGTTTTATAAAAAAGAAACGGCTTGACTGATTTTATTGCAAATAGTAATAGTGTGACTAGTTTTAAGTGGTATTTTGCCATAAGACAAATTAATTAACTTTATAAACTAAAACTAATAATATGTACAAATCACACAAAAAATACGTTAACGTATACAAATTTGTACGACATTGAACTGCTTCTAAACGGCTGGACCGATTTTGATGAAACCTTTTCTGCTTGTCTAGGAATATTTACAGATGGTTTTATTATATGAACTTTTTTATATGTATACTCCATATTAATGAGAATTGAGTTTAGGACATACATGGGGTATGTTCTAAGGGCACTAACCATAATTAATTCAATTTTCTCTTAAAATTTTGCTCAACAGTAGAATCCCTTTATTTAATAATATTTTAATTTGCTCGTCAATGAGCGCTTTTCAAAATTTCAGTAGAGTCCTATTTTCCTATAATTTCAGTTTGCACGTCAGTAGAGTCTTTTTTCTTTTGTTTGCTTGTCAGTAGAATCACTTTACCATTTTATATTCCAGTTTGCTCATTAGTAGAGTCAGTTTTCCATTTTATATTAGTTTGCTCGTCAGTAGAGTCCTTTTTTCTATCATTTTTTTAATTTGCTTGTCAGTAGTGTCTACTTTTCTATTGAAGTGTTAATTTGGTTATCAGTAGAGTCCTTTTCCTATCGTTGCTCGTTAGTAGAGTCCTTTTTTCGTGTCGAAATTTCAGCAAATTCCGTTTTTCTTAAAATTTTAGGATTTTCCATCAATCAGTAGAGTTCTGTTTTCATATGATTTTAGTGTGCTCGTCAGTAGAGTCTCTTTGTTCATTAATATTTTAATTTGCTCGTTAGTAAAGTTCATTTCCTTTCGTTGCTCGTTAGTAGAGTCCATTTTTGTGTCAAAATTTCAGTAAATTTCGTTTTTCTTAGAATTTTAGGATTTTTCATCAGTAGAGTCCTTTTTTCATATGATTTTATTTTGCACGTAAATAAAGTCTTTTTCTCATCAGCATTTTTATTTGGTCGTCAGTAGAGTCCCTTTTGTCTTTCATTTCAGTTTGCTTGCCAGTAGAGTCCCTCCTTTTGTTTTTTTATTATTGTTTGCTCGTCAGTAGAGTCCTTTCACTTAATTTTTATTTTAGTTTGCTCGTCAATAGAGTCCATTTCCACTCGAAATTTTTATTTTCTCGTAACATATTGATGAAACGAGTCTTGGTAGAGTTTCTTTTCTATTTTAATACAGTTTGTTCGTCAGTAGAGAGTACAGTTTGTCTCTAATTTTAGTTTGTTGTCGGCGGAGTCTCTTTTCTTTTTTATTTTAATTTAACCAAAAGAAACTCTACTGACAAACAAACTGTAACATTGTAAATAAAACTGAAATTAGAGGGAGAAAGTGGCGTAATTTTGAAGTTAAAAAAAGACTCTACTGACGAGCAAATTGTAATTCGACTTGATAAAGAAACGATAAAGCGTGTTGTGAGTTTTTGTCTATTATTCAAATTCAATACAAAACAATAATATTCAAATTCAAGTTTAATTTTCTCGTCAGTAGAGTCTCTTTTTCATTTTTCTCGGCTCCAAGTTAAATTGCTTGATTTTTTCCTTTTCTATTAACATTCTTACTGCTCTTTAGTAGGGTCCTTTTGAATAATTTTGTAAAGTTCAAGATAAATTTGCTCGTCAGTAGAGTTTCTCTTCTATTCACATTAGTTTTCGCTTTACTAGAGTTCAGTTTTTTTTACTACGTTTTTATTTAGTTGGCAGTAGAGTCGATTTTATTTCAACGTTTTTCAACAACTCAATTTTAAATTTAAGCTTAATTTTTGAATGTTATTTTTAAGTTTAATTTTTTCGTCAGTAGTGTCCCTTTTAGTGTTCATCCGTTTTAGTTCGCTTGTCAGTAGAGTCCCTTTTGATTCATATTTTTAGTTTGCTTGTAAGTACAGTCCCTTTTTATAAGGGATGATAGAGACTCTCTACTGGCTAAATGAAATAAAATGTAAAGAGGCTCTACTGAAGAGCAAACTAAAAATGATAATGGAAAATGGATTGGAAGTTCGCTCGTCAGTAGAGTTCTTTTGTATTAACATTGCTTTTCAGTAGAGTTCCTTTTTTATTGACACTTTTAGTTTGCTTGTTAGTAGAGATCTTTTTTCTTCTATTTCAGTTTGCTCTTCAGTAGAGTCCTTTTTTATCTTTGTTCATCAGTAGAATCTTTTTATTGGGTCAAATTTTCAGTTTGCCCGTCCCATTTTTATTGCGGATTGCACGCCAGTAGAGTCGCTTTTTGTCTCTTATTTCAATTTGCTCGTCAGTAAAGTACATTTTAAAATTAACATTTTTATTTATCTGCAAGTAGTTTCATGTCCTCTTTTAACATTATAATTTACTTGTCTTTAGAGTCTTTTTCTATTTTGTCATTTAATTCGGTTTGCTCGTCAGTAAAGTCCTTTTTGTCTCCTATTTCAGTTTGCTCGTCAGTAGAGTCCCGTTTTGTTTTACATTTTAGTTTGATCATCAGTACAGTCTCTTTTTATTTTAAAAACATTTTTATTTGATCGTCAATACAGTCCCTATTTCTATTGAAATTTTTATTTACTCTTCAGCAGAGTCCCTTTTTCTATTATCTTTAGTTTGCTCATAGGTACAGTCCATTTTTTTATATTCTCTATTTTTACTCGTTAGTAGAGCCCCTTCTATTTTTAGTTTTAGTTTTAGTTTTTTTGTCAATAGTGTTCCTTTTTTATTTTAAAAACATTATTTGCTCGTCAGTACAGTCTCTTTTAGAGATCAAAATTTTAATTTACTCATCAGTAGAGTCCGTTATGTCTTTTATTTTAATATCTTTGTTAGTAGAATTTTTATTCTCTTTTATTTTTGGTTTGCTCGTCAGTATAGTCCCTTTTATTTTTATGTTAGTCTGCTCGTCAGTAGAGTCCATTTTTTCATATTCTCTCTGTTCACTCGTTAATAGTGTTCTTTCTGTCTCTTATTTTAATTTGCTTGTCTGTAGAGTCCCTTTTGTCTCTTATTTCAATAACCTCGTTAGTAGAATCTTTATTCTTTTATTTTTAGTTTGCTTGTCAGTAGAGTCCCTTTTTTCTGTAAGTTTTCATATAACTAACAATAAATAAATAAAAAACACTTTATAAATAAATTAACTAACTAATTTTATTAACTAGAACACAATATGTACAAATCACACAAATACAGTATGTATGTCATTGAACTGCTCCTGAACGACTTGACCGATTTTGATGAAACTTTTTGTAATTTGTCTAAGAGTATTTACAGATGGTTTTAATATATATATATATATATATATATATATATATATATATATATATATTAGGGTGGTCCTTAAAATGGTCATTCTCGAATTTCCTTGCTCCCAGGGGCTCAAATGGTTCCAAATAGATAAAAAACAATTCTCTGAAAGTTTTAGCTCTTAATATTAACGTTTAGATAGAGCGCAATTCAATCAAAGTTTTGTATAGGAATAGCATGGAAAAATTTTCAAAAATTTTAAAAATGCTTTTTAGATGTAATTTAATGAACAAATAAATGAATAAAACTCATTCATTTGTCGCTAAGTTATACCTAAAGCATTTTTTTTAAATTTTCAAAATTTTTTCCATGCTCTTTCCATACAAACTTTGATTGAATTGCGCTCTATCTAAACGTTAATATTAAGAGCTAAAACTTTCAGAGAATTGTTTTTTATCAATTTGGAACCATTTGAGCCCCTGGGAGCAAGGAAATTCGAAAATGACCTTTTTAAGGACCACCCTAATATATATATATATATTCACATCCTATGATAATTATTCCCTTGATAAGCATTATACAAAGCAACAGCATAATAAAAAAACGGAGACACAGAAGCGGCAGCCAAACTGGCCCCCATAACGGGCCTGTGACAAACCCAAGCCAGGGCCGTAATCAGCAAAGCCCCCGACAAACTTAAAGTCAAACTCGCCGACACCGGAGACCTTTCGGTAATAATATATACAAATTCCTGTACCTTTCCAAAAACAAATTAATCAAATTCATTAAACACGTCGTGGAACAGAATAATAGGAACCAACCGGCTGCACGGAAGCCCCAGGTCTCTAGTAATTTCTGAGTGTTCTTTGGTGAAGGCTTGTTGTATAGAAAGGTCTCCGGGGAATAGTAGAAGGACTTCTAAGCCGTTTGAGGTTTTGAAGGGTTTTATTTCGTTATTGACTTGTTGCCCGATGATAGTATAAACGTCTCCGGATAAACCAGCGTATGAGAATTGTATCCGTATATCCCCGATTTCAGGGTAAAATATGTTAAAACAATGGTAGTACATACCGGAGTGTAGTTTGATATCAGGGCGCTCCGGTCTTTCATCCGATGTAACCTCTACAAACTTATTAAACTTATTTTTGGCAACATCCCCTAATTGTAAAGCCCCGATTTTAACATGCTCAGACACATATATATGCGTCTTAACCGGGAAGTCTTTAGGGTTAACATGCGTGGACCTAAAATAAAACTGATCTGAATCTACTATCCTATCACGCCATTCTTTATTATAATAATAATCAGTATCGACTCTGGACATGACAGTGTCTTCGCCCTGTGCATGTTCGATTTTCTCCTCGATCCATTGGTACATTTGTACACGTCTTTTGAGTTTAACAGCAGAGACTTCGATGTTGTAATCGGGTTCTGTAAGAGGCTCGTTTATTTGTAAAGGACCTGATAAGTGTACTAAGTCGCCTTCGAATTCCCATAGAGGTATGGGGCCTTTGTCGTTTAAAGTCACACAGGCATTTAGGGCGTCTTCTAAGGATTTTGCGACTTTTACAGCACGGCCTTCGTTCCAGATAATAATAAAAGTCCCAGCTAAACTGATGATGATACCAAAAATGTATATTACCCAGTTTCTTTTGAATTCTGTGACAAATTGAGATTCCATTGTAAAAGTGAGGTTATGTTTAGGTAAATTACTTATTTTTCACTACGTATGTTAAAATGTGTTGCATAAGTATTTGTACTTGGTTTTAAACATAAACTGCGACATTTTTTGTGTATATATATGTATATATATTTATATTTATAACATTAAAATTATTTGTACTTTGTTATGACAGAAGCGACTAAAATACTCTTGACTAGTGCTAAATTTTACCACCAGATGATACCCCTATTTACTCTTTAACAATTAATAAAGAAATTGCACAATTCAGTATGATTTACAATTAAAACTAGGTGTAAGTGGTATTTTGCCTTATGGCAAGTTGCATGTACTTCTCGATATGTATTTGAATCGACTTAATGGCTCTTAAAATTTTGAAATCGGTGCAATCAATTTGACACAAATTTTTGCTCTCTTGCACACACGCATTCACTAATTTTGGTCTCAAACGATTCAGAACGACGACAAGCATCGAGATATACAATTAGCAAGTAGAATTTTTTAGCAAAAACAATAAAAAAAGTTGTTTATTTTACAAGCGGCATGTTTGACAGTTCTTCTAAACTACCGTGGCGCCATCTTACGGCGAACCTTTGTACTAAACTTGGACAACGCACAAAATTTTTGCAAATTTAAAGCAGTTTTACGCAATTTTAACATAAAAATTAAATATTTTCAACCTTACAAACAATTTTATAATATTTACAAAACATTTACATTACTTATAGTATACTGTTATCACAAATATATCATTTATCTTCATTTATACAAGTTTAGCGAATTCAAATTAATTTTGTTCTAAGAGTTTCAAATTGTTATATACAGATTTGTGAATAATTTTATTAGCTTTGTAATGATATACAATACTATATACATGTTTGAACAAATAATTAACAAAATCGAGTAAAATGTTCAGACATTCAGACATCTCAGTTCATAACATTTCGAAATTTAAACAATTCTTTCAATATAATTTTGTTCTAAGAGTTTCAAATTGTTATATGCAGATTTGTAAATAATTTTATTAGCTTTTTAATGATATATAATGGTATATACATGTTTGAACAAATTATTAACAAAATTCAGACATTTCAGTTTATCACATTTCGAAATTTAAACAATTCTTTCAATATAATTTTGTTCCAAGAGTTTCAAATTGTTATACACTGATTTGTAGTTAATTTTATTAGCTTTCCAATGATATAAAATAATAATAACGTTTAAATAAATAATTAAGGAAATTTGTCGGAATGTAAAAAGTGACACAAGCAGACATCTTAGTTTACCAAAAATGACGTCAGTATTCGATTATAAAGTTGAAATATGTTTTTTAATATAATTTTGTTCTAAACGTTTTAACTTGTTATATACAGATTTGTAGATAATTTTATTAACTTTCTACTGATATATAATAATATATACATGTCTAAACAAATTATTAAGAAAATTTAACGAAATTTAAAAATGTAACCTAGAAATCTACCAAAGGCTGATAATTATGTAGATACTAAATTTTACTGATAAATCGTATTTAATTTTGTTTGAAAAGTTTTTCAACGCTATATACATATTTGTAGATAATTTTATCAGTTTTCTAATGATATATAATAATATATACATATTTGAACAAGTTATTAACAAAATCGATCTAATAATATGTAACCCATGGTTGATAACTACAAAGTAAATTTTTATTTTTACAGATTTTTTTTTAAATTTCGTTCGATTTAAATTATTAAACCTTAAATACAGATTTGTAGACGCGTTTTTAATGATGCATATCACTAATGATAATATATATATAATATTATAATAATAATATCATATTATGATACTTTGATAATATTAATATTTAAATTAATTTGTTAGAGAAATGTTTTTGAATCGAGCGCCACATTTGACAGTTCTCCTGTACTACCGTGGCGCCATCTTACGGCGAACATTTGCACTAAAATTGGACGTCGTACAAAATTTTGAAAATTTAAAGTGTTTTTACGCAATTTTAACACAATATCAAATTAATTTCAACAATACAAACAAATTTTCTAATATTCACCACACATTTACATTACTTATACCATATTTTTATCACAAATATATCTTTTATCTTTTATCAATTATTCCAACCTTTACAGCGTCCATGTTAGCGCGCAATTGTTCTTCAATGCCGAAAAATAACAACAAAAACAAGAAGTCAATTTTGCAAACTGTTTTATTAATTTATAATAATGGTGTCTACAAGAGGCGTTAAATATAAATTTGGGGAAGGCGAAAAGGTTTTGTGTTACGAGCCGGATCCGACAAAGGCTAAAGTTTTATACGACTCGAAGGTAAATACGCAAAATGTCAAAGACAAATTTGAGGTTATGTCTGTTTGTGTTTTGATATAAATTTACATCAAAATGTAGTTAATATAAAGTATTGACTTGTTTTTGTAGTAGCTTGTTTAATTTAGGAGTTTTTCTAGTTTGGGTTGAGTATAAATTCTATGTAAATCATCAATTTATGTTTTGGTAGAAGTATGCAGTGTCTTCGATGTGTTCAAAGTGTTCGAAGAGTTTTTGAGAATTCATTTAGTTGATTTCATGTAAAAATGTATTTGTTACATAGTTTTTATATTAAACAAGAACTGCATAATGCTAATTATACGTTTGTTACTAAAAATGTGACTATTTAAAGTTATGTCAAAGAGATGTGCAGTCGACTTTTGAAATTATTTCTTACAAATTGTATAAATATTTTACAATTACATATATATATATATATATATATATATATATATATATATTAAATTTAATATATTCACTCAACATATATAACCTTTAATTTGTCACAATTAAAATATTTTAATTATGATTCACTCATATTTTATTTTGTGTATTTCAATAATTTATCAGAGATTTTTTTCCTCTTTTAGGTATTGGAGGTTGTAGAAAACAAAGATAAGCGAGGACGTAAATCAATCGAGTACCTGATCCATTTCCAAGGATGGAACTCATCCTGGGATCGTTGTGTGGGAGAAGATTATGTCCTAAAAGACACCGAAGAGAATCGGCAGCTTCAGAGAGATCTGGCTGCTAAATCACAATTACAAATGTAAGTAGAAAAATAATAAGTAATATATTATCATTTATGTATCGATTGCTATAAGTTATATTATTTCTTTCTAGTGGGGCTTATTTGTACAGAAGATGCAGGAACAAAAGATCTCGCAAACTCAGTGACCGTATCAATGATAGTATAGGCTCTGGTGGAAAAACAAGGAGAGCTGGATCTTCCGAAGACGGGAGCTCGTGTTCTACAACTGGTCAGAGGGATATTGATACTGATGATACACAACAAGAAGGTAATATATTAGTCAGTGGCATTATTTATACTAATGGGGCCCATGGCATCGTGCTTTAAGGCAAATTGCTGGAACTTCCCGTACCTAAGATTGTTTTTTTTTTTAAAAGATTAAAATTTTTTAAAAAAAATTGCTCTGAAAAAATTAGATTTTTGAGAAACAATAAATTTTTGACAAAGTTTACTTTTTTTTGAAAAAAAAAAAAGAATTTTTGAAGAAAAATTTATTTTGAAATATTTTGGAAATTCAGAACATTTTTTCAAAGCAATCGTACTGCTTTAACTGCATAAAGGTGAAATATCGAAGCGCGTAAGCGCCGCGTCGCTGTCTTACGCATAAGTATTGATACGGAACCCATAGGAATGTTAACAAAATGTATACTTATTGTTAAAATCTCTATAAAATATCTGATAATTTGATGTGCATATGTCTAATGATCATTTTTGACCGACAAATTTTCATTAGATCTTCGAAACCGCTAGACCTGCCCTCATGAAAATTTGATCAGTTCTTCATTTTGTTAATACAAGTAAAATGTTTTTTTGAATTATTAAAATCGGACGCTCCGTTCTATTAAAAACTGAGGTACCGTTTGTGGCACTTTTTGCCCCGCATCTTCGGAACGGCTAGACCTGCCTTCGTCAAAAACTAATCAGCACGTCTCCTTATCAACACGAATCGAATGTTTTTTGAATTATTCAAATCGCTTCATCCGTGTTCCCGAAATCGTCGACGAAAATTTGTATCCGAACACACACACACAAACACGCACACACACACACACACATACATCCATTGTTTCTAAGGTATGCCAAAATGTTCAGAAGGTTTTGAAACGTGAAGATATATAAAAATTTACATTTTCGATTTTTTTTGCGATTAATATAACTTGCCCTACGGGAAGTTAATAATGAGAATAAATTTAAGACGAGCCATTATAAAAAGAAATAAGAGAAATGAATTATTTTGCAATCTCTTCTTTAGCATTTATTTATTTATTGTATTTAGCTAAATATAATAAAAAATATTTGGTAAATGTTGCAAATTCAAAGTTGAAACAAGTTTTTCTACATTTTTGTTGGAGCTTTCTATCGATATACAATCATATATAAATAGATAGGTAGATACTTTATTTAAATTCAATATTTACAATTTACGTCAATACAATTATTATTTTTATCACAATATTATAATATAACTATAGTAATATCAGTGATATTAATGAACAACTCAAGATTAACCTAATGACAATTAATAATTAACTTAGATATAATATATTATTTATAAATACTATAGTATATAAATACTATAATAATATAGTATTTTGTTCAACGTTTTCGTGCAGTAATTCTGTTTTTGCTAATAACTTTATTATTTTTGTAATGATATATAATAACATATATTCGTTACGATAACGGTCTTCAATTATAAAGTTTAAACAATACTTTAAATTGGAATTGTTAAATTCCAAAATTTCCTAGATTTTTAGATAATTTTATTGGCTTTCTAATAAAATAATTCATGACATTGAATATATCTTTGAGAATTAGTAAAATCAAATATTGTGAAATCTTCAATCACGATCTCAACTGTAGTTAATATTAAAACTTGAGCATTTATTTTCTTTTACCAAGTAAAACTTTTTTTAGTATTAATTTAATATTTAAGATAATTTATAACAGCGCAAGAAAGATAACGGGCTATCGCCAGCTTCTTACGATTTCAAACATTTTTAGAAGTTTATTTAAAAAATTGAGTGTTAATTTCAAATGTAATATTTCTTTTTTTCAGATGGTGATAGTGAAACATGTAGCAGTCTCGACAATGCAGATTTAGCAGACGAAGAACGAGCTCATATCGATCTGGGTGATATTTTAAGGTCGCATTTGGATAGGGATTTTGAGAAAGTTAAACAGGAGAATAAATTACATTGTTTACCTGTCAACCCAAATGTCGTAAGTGAAAAAATGACTCATATATATATATATATATATATATATATATATATATATATATATATATATATATATATATATATATATATATATATATATATATATATATATATATATATATATATATATATGTATATATATATATATATATATATATTAAATATTTATTTATTTATTTTTTAGGTGACAATTCTAGAAAATTATGTTAAACATTATGCACTACAACAATTAACAATGAGCCAAAATGAACCGACGAGAGGCAGAAAGACGAGTCCGGTTAAAAGATTTAGGGATTTGGATAAAGTCTGTCGAAAGTAAGTACATATATGAATATTATAATTATAATTATATATATATATATATATATATATATATATTTTATTAACAATTGTCAATTTTTTATTTCAGTTTAAATATTTGCAAAGAAGTCTGCGATGGTTTAAGAATATACTTCGATTTTACCCTAAAGGATCATCTATTATATTTATCTGAAGTCGATCAGTTGAATGAATATCTTACAGGGGACAAAGTTAAAATAGAAATCGATGAAAGTGTTGTTAAACAAGAGGAGATTGAAATGTAAGTATTTTGAATTTAATTTATAAGGATAGTTATCATTGCAACTGTTTATTAGAGTATATTTGTTTATACTTTGTACTATTTTTAGTAATAGTGATACTATATTGACTAGTTTAAAGCATTTATTTATTGTATTTAGCTAAATATAAAAAAAATATTTGGTAAATGTTGCGAATTCACAGTTTAACAATATTTTTCTACATAATTTTGTTTGAGCTTCCTACTGATAAACAATAATATTTACTTATAAATATATTTGAAATTTGAAATTTAAATTTCAACGGTCGTTTCAAACGCGCGAACTTCACACTCTAAGTATTTTGCGAAGACTTTCCGTGCAGTAATTTTCTTTTTGTGAATAACTTCATTCATAATAATATAGACATATGTTCATTACGACACGGTGTTCAATTATTAAATTTAAGCAATCCTTCAAATAATATTCTGTTCTAAGAGTTTTGAATTGTTATATACAGATTTTTAGTTAATTTTATTATCTCTCTAATGAAATATAATAATATATTTGTATTAAAACAAATTTAAACAATATAAACGTAAATATATAAAAATGCATCTGAATAAAAAAACAACTCCTTATAACTAAATGTTCAACTTCAAAGTTTAAACAATTCTTTAAATGTAATTTTGTTTTAAATTTAAAGTTTGAATTGTTATATATAGATTTTTAGATAATTTTATAAGCTTTCTAAGGATATATAATAATATATACACGTTTAAACAATATTAATTTATTATTATAAATTTGAAATTTGAATTTTAAATCTCAACGGTCGTTTCAAACGCGCGAACTTCACACTCGAAGTATTTTGTTCAATTCTTTCGTGCAGTAATTCTGTTTTTGCTAATAACTTCATTATTTTTCATATAATAATATATATTCTATGTTTTTGGTTATCAAACCATTTTCATGTCCTTTTCCTATTTTTTTTACTTTGTTACTTCTTAATTAGCTCGCCAGTAGAGTTTTTTTTTCTTAGAGCTTTGAACTTGCTCGTCAGCAGAGTCTTTTTGCTAATTAGTTCGCTCGTCAGTATTATTTTATCTAAAGTATTACTTTTTGATTTGCTCGTTAGTAGATTTTTTCCGCTTCTAGATTTTAGTTTGTTTGTCCTATTTTATGTTTTCTAGATTTTAATTTGCTCGTCTTTAGAGTCCTTTATGAAAATGAACAGTTACTTGAGCGGCTCAAGCTTACTTATTGAAATGTTTTTAATTTGAAAAGAAACCAAAAAAAAAGACTCTACTTACAAACAAACTGAATATCAATTTCTGAAACTAAAACTGAAAAGGATTCTACTGACGAGCTAACAGTAAAAATGAGATAAAAAGAGACTTTACAAACGAGCAAATAAAAAAAAGATATGAAAGAGGACTGCACTGACGATCAAATTAGAAAAATTAAACAAGAGGGACTCTACTGACGAGCAAAACAGAAAAATGAGATAAAATGGAACTCTACTGACGTGCAAATAGGAAAAACGATATATTATAAAAGGGACTCTACTCTACTGACAAGCAAACTGCAGAACCGGTATAAGAAGGGACTCTACTGACGAAAAAATAAGAAAAATGAGGTAAAAAAGGGACTCTACTGACGAGAGAATTAGAAAAACGAGATACAAAAGGGACACTACTGATGAGAATATTAGTAATATGAGATAAAAAGGGACTGTACTTAAGAACAAATCAGAAAAATTTGATAAAATCAGACAGTACTGACGAGCAAATTAAAACAATGAGATAAAAAGGGACTCTACTGATGAGCAAATTAGAAAAATGTGATAATCGGGACTGTACAGACGAGCAAATTAGGAAAACGAGATAAAAACGGACTCTACTGACGAGCAAATGTGAAAAATAAGTTAAAAAGGACTGTACTGACGAAAAATTTTGAAAAATGAGGTAAGAAAGGACTCTACTTACGGGCAAAATGCAATAACGAGATGAAGACACTCTACTGACGAGCAAACTGCAGAAAGGATAAAAAGAGATTCTACTAACGGTTAAACAGCAGAAATCAAAAAAAGGAACTCTACTGATTATTCAACTGCAGAAACGATATGAAAAGGGACTTTACTGACGAGTAAACTGAAAAAAAAACGAGATAAAAGGGACTCTACTGACGAGCAAATTAGAAAAATGAGATAAAAGGGACTCTACTGACGACCAACCGAGGAAAATAAGATAAAAGGAGACTCTACTGACTACCAAACTACAGAAACCGAGATATAAAGGGACTCTACTGACTAGCAAATAAGAAAAACGATATAAAAAGGGACTCGACTGACGACCAAACTAAAAAAACATGTTGATCTACTGACAAGCAAACTACAGAAACGGTATAGTACTCTTTTTATTATCTTTAAAATTACATGGACATAACACACAACTAAGTCATCCTTAACCAACTACTAACTAACTAACTAACCAAAGGATATTAATCCTGGTAAAGGTGTAAAAACTAAAAAATAGCAAAAGAAAAAGTAAATTAAGTTAAATAAAGCAATTTTACAAAGTATGAATTATATACTTTTATATATTTTGTATTACTCTGCTGATGAATATTTTTGATAAAATACCAGATCAAGGTTGTTCACAGTGTTATCTGTGTGTAATGTAAAACATGCACCAATGGAACTTAAATTATGCATTAGTTGAATAATGTAGAAAATAGTGTTACCAGGTTGTGCAATATCTATTTCAAAATCGTCAGGATTGCCTGATGTAACAATAATACTTTAAATGATATTATAACTAATTGATAGATATAATATTTAATTTCACATAAAGCCATTTTTATTGCTTATTAACTTCCCGAAGGAGAAGTTTATGTTTTTATCAAAAAATTCGATTCGCTAATTTTATGTTTTCTCGACGTTTCAAGCCATTCTGAATCGAATGAGACCAAATTAAAGGAAAAAGTATGTGTGTTTTAAATGTTGTTGGCATCAATTTAACTTAAATTAAATTATTTATACTCTGGTTCAAAGATAATCAAGAAGTTTTTAATGCGCCAGTAATTGTCTTTGTAACCAAGAAACCTCTGGACTATTTACGACTACAACGCAGAACCAGCCATAAAAACTTAATTAATCCTAAATGAACGACACATTTTAAATACGTGCGTAAACAAAAGTGTTACAAAATAACTTTTGCTTCAATTTAATCAAAAACACAACGACTATTTCATACCACGAACACAAAGTTCTCATTGTGCTTAAAAATCTTAAACAATACATTCTGAATGAAGAAAATTCAACAAATAATATATGCTATTTGTTTTCAATAAGTCTTCAATTAAAAACAAGCTTGTTTTATTTTAATTTAATATTTATTTCTTAATAATTTATAGAATAAAAAATTATTGTGAAAGACAGATCAAATTGCTTATTCTAAAATTTAGAATCTAAAGGATTAATTAAGTGATTATTTACACATTTCGAGAAGTTCTTGCAACTTGCCTTAAGGCTAAATACGCTTTCAACTAACTATTTTTCTTCCCCAGCCACCAAGAACAAGAACCACAACCAGAATACAAACCCATAACATCCCTATCTCTCCCAGACTCACCCAGCGACATACCCATGTTCGCGCACCTCTCAGCCGAGACCACAATCGTCATCCCCGAGAGCGAGATCGTCACCTTGACCAATACGACGGCACCCATCACCAGATCGGTGACCAATCAGCAGTCGAGCAACACGAGCACTGTCAACGTCCTCACGACGACTCCGACGAGCAGCACAGGTGGCGGCAGTAGTTTGCTGAACGAACCGCGGAGACTGAGGAGCCATAAATTGGAGCTGGTGCAGGAGATGGCGGTTGAAAGTGGTATTAATAATAGTGGTGGTAATAGTGGTGGTAATAGTGGTGGTAATGGTGGTGGAGTTGTGGTGCAGTTGGAGGAGTAGGAGGAGCAGGAGGTTGTCCTATGCAGGTTGATGCAGCAGGTGGTGCAGGGAAGATTGAGGGGCAGGGTGCTAAGGAGGAGCAAGCTTTAAGGTAAATTGGTAGATGTAATTTGTTTTTTTCACATTCAAACTTATTTGAAATAATTAGCAATACATTCGTCTGAGTGAAAATGTGTTAAAAGAAAAGCATTCTTTATTAATTAGGAAGCGCTCATTAATCACGAGATCGCCATTTTAAGGATTTTTAAAAGTCACACTGAAAAAGATGCAACTGTATAACTCATTTTTGAGATACTTTTATAAGTTTAAAAAAATTAGTTTTATTATTAGTGATAGTTTTTTAAACTCAAAAACTAGTATGATGATAATTTAGTCATTTTT